CTTGCCTCCTCTTGGGACTCTGCCCCATTTCCTGTTATGATCTCTAAAACTGGGTCAAGTGTAATTCTGTTCTTTCTCCTCTAAGTGTAGCTGGCAACCCAGACACCCAGATGGAACTGCTCATTTAACTGGAGCATTTGCAGTTTCTGTTGGAGCCCAGCATGACCGGGCAGCGTCTGCTTGATCCTTTTGTCCATTTCAGCCTTTCTGGGCCACATGTGGCAGCCAGGGACCTAGTTCAGTCTCTCGTGTCAATCCTTCTCAAACCACCCGTGGGCTCTGTCCCCAGGGCATTGTCTGGTTTCCAGGAAGGATTGTTGCTCTGGAAACTCAGGCTGCCATGGGACTGATCAATGTGTTTGCTCTTGTTGGGCACAACATGGTGGCCCGGGGCACCCCAAGGGCTCAGCCAGTGGTGGGAGCCAGGTCTGTCAGCTTCCATCCGTCTGTTTGAGGCAGAGGACTTTCTGGGAGAGTCTGAGGTCTCCCCAGGATGCTGAATCTCCTGAAGACACACCCTACTCATTTCTTCCTCTTAAAACAAATGAAGAGACATTTTGTCCATACACTTCATTCAGCACTTAAGTCTCAAATAAATAAATAAAATCTTAAAAAAAAATGTTTCAAGGGTTCTCAAATTAACTGTCTTTTAAATGGCTAAGAAAATACATGTTAGTTACTGCTGTCTTCACTAAACTCCACAGCAAGTACGAGGAGAGCTTCGCATCCATTCTTTTGTTATTAAATGCACTAACTATTGACCTTCGCTGGCTCGAGGTTTTGCACACAATAAACATTTCTCGAGTGATTGAGCTATGCTCATGGAAGACCACATATACCTTCTTTTCTTGCCTTTCTTCTATGATCCATCCTTTTGCCTATCTTTGCAGGGCTTAACTTAGAAGGGGTCTGGGAACTTGGATGAGAAAATACTATATCTTGATTTTTCACACAGCTAACCGAAATGTAACATTCCCCATAGTTACAAAGGTAACAAACCACTGAGGCATTAATGGTCCCTGAGGTTTTGTCACCAACTGAAATCACAGGTATTTTTATGTCACATTGCAATTATTGAAAAGAATTCAAAATGCCATTTATGCTCATCAGTACTTCCAAATGACTGTAGTTAGACTTATTGCTAGATCTTGCCATTTGTTGCATCAATAAACAAACATATATATTTTCTATTTTGATAACTGTATTCAGTGCAACTGGGTTCCTTTGGAATCCTATGTATTTTATGTCCTTAGAAACATCTTGAGAAGAGGTCCATAGTTTCACTAGCCAGCCAAAGGGGTCCACAGCACACAAAGGTCAAGACTCCTTGGTTACACAGTGCCTTCTGGTTCCTTGATTTTTTTTTTTTTTTTTAGTGTCCAGTGGAGGCGAGGACCAGCTGATCAGAGCAGTGGGGAGAAAGGAGTGAATTGAAGCCTTAAAGTTTTCAGAAAAAGGCTCTGATGGTGCAAAGTGAGATGCTGCCCACTAGTGGCTGGAAGTCAGAACTGCGAGATTGAATATAAGGCACGCCTTTAAGAGGTTTGGGGTGCTGATTCTTGGTACTTGGGTCTGAAATAAGAGAAACATTGAAGGTACAGATTGCGCTGGGCAGCATAGACATTTTAACAATGTTTATTCTTTCGATCCGTGAGCATGGAATGTTTTTCCATCTTTTTGTGTCTTCAATTTCTTTCATGAGTGTTCTGTAGTTCCTAGAGTATAGATCCATTACCTCTTTGGTTAGGTTTATTCCGAGGTATCTTATGGTTTTTGGTGCTATTATAAATGGAATAGTTTCTCTAATTTTTCTTTCTACAGTTGCATTGTTAGTGTATAAGAAAGCAACTGATTTCTGTGCATTGCTTTTGTATCCTGCTACATTACTGAATTGCTGTATGAGTTCTAGTAATTTGGGGGCAGAGTCTTTTGGGTTTTCCACATAAAGTATCATGTCGTCTGCGAAAAGAGAGAGTTTGACTTCTTCTTTGCCACAGAGGCAGTGGGCAGTTTTACCCCTGCCCACATATCACTATCGGATTCCTCATTCTCCGCTCCAGCCATCTTCGCTGTCATTCAGTGACTCAGAAGCTTCCTCCCACTTAAGGAATTTACACACGCTGTTACCTCTCCTGCACCACCCCTCCCACCTCTTCATCTAGGTAACGGTGCTCTCCCTCCTTATCTACTATCTATCTGCCCCTGAACTGCCAGGCTAGGTCAGCCTCTTTGATAATCCTCATGCAGACCCGTGCTCATGTCCTTCACAGCCCTCTCTCAGTTTGTAATGACATGGTTCCCCCCCCCTCAATTTTTTTGTTCCATGTTTGTCATTGAACTAGACAGTAAAGCCCGCGAGGCAGGGGCTGCCTGCTTTCCTTCTCTGTAGTAGCCTCAGTGTCTGCCCAAGGATACTCGTGCATTGAGGAAGAGTACATTTCAGTTGGAAAATTCATAAAGGGACTGTGAATGCTAGCAGAATGCTAGGATTTCGGTACATCAACAGTCGAGTCAGATGGCCTTCCTCCACCTATGGCACCCCGGCTACCACCAAGGCCCCTCTGTGTTCCAAGTACATGGAGACTTCAGGCCCAGCGCAGGAGACACAGTATAGCAAAACTGACAGGCTAGAGGTCAGATCCTGGCCTCGATGCTTCCTTCCGGGGTGATCTCAGTATCTCTGGGCCTCAGTTTGCCTATCTGTAAAATAGTGAAAATACTAGTACCTAGGACATAGAAGTGTTAAGAATGCTAATGAAGGAAGGAAGGTACAGTACCGGGCACATAATAAGAACTGACCAAATGGTGACCCAAAAGAAAGCCAGCTGAGCCTGAGGGATTGCCCACTCTTGCTCCCCTCTTGAGAGGCACCGGATTTAGAAACCAGAGGAGCTTTGCAACAGGGTGGGGCCTAGCTCTGGATTCTTTCCCCTGCTCTGTCTTGGTTGGGATGTTCCGGAGAGGCAGAGGATTCTTCCTTGCAGCTTGGCTGGATCCCCGGCTATGTGTCGGTTTCTCCACCTGCTTCACTCGGCATCTCTGTGCACGTGTGCTGGACTTACTGTCCCTGAACAGTGGTTGAAGTTGAGATTTCCTTCCTAACTTTTTACCCCCTTCCATTCCCGCCTAATTCTTGCTCCAGAGAAGAACTGAGTTCGTTTACTCTGGCTAAAGATGGAGTTATAACTCTGGAAGCCGTCTCGGCACAGAATTTCACAGAATATATTAGTGAATATATTCGGTAAGTAATATATTCAGCTCAATAAATATCAGTTGTGGTGATTTCCCTATTAGAAAATAGTGGACCGTCCCCAGCGCCAGTCTAGTCTGCCCCCCTAACTTCTATAACTATCTGCTAAGCACCTGGCACTTCGAGGCTTTCCGGAGAGATTGGATGAAAGAGCAGAGAAGAGGCTGAAGGCTGCGGCTTTTCCCCAGCTAGGCTGCATCGCCTTTGACTACCCTCAGTTCTGCACAGTGGCCAATAGAGGGCAGGAGCAGTTAAGACAACAATACTCAGGACCCGCCAGCCCCAGAATTCCTGGCTTGAGGAGGGAGGATGGTGGAGGGAGAAAAATGTTAACAAGGACTGAAAAAACCCAATTGTTCTTTATCTCCTAGGGACCAAATGGAAGGAAATGTGTAGCTAGCGGGATGGAAGTTAGACTTCAGGAAGAACTTCCAGAACACAAAGTTTGTTAACTAGAACTTTTATACAGGTGACCCCCTAGGTACAACTGTGCAAGCAGAAAAGATGAGAAAGGGAGCTCTTCCAGTCCAAGGCCTATGTGACCCACCAGATCCCCTTAAAGTAACCCTTCTGAGTGTGCCTTAAATGACTCCATTCTTGCAGATGCAATCATAAAATAACTTTATTGGTCAGGTTAGCCACCAGTCATGCTTTTCCTGTAATAAGGACCCTTTATAGAGGCATGATGGTGTTCACATGCAGACGCTTTCTGAAGAGCCTGGGGCAGGGGCAGCCTTGCCCCCCACGTCAGAGCTCCTTTGTTGAAATGAGCTGGTTTGGCTTTTGTGGATTTTTGAGTCTGGAGCCAAGCACAGAGTCCAGGGATCCTCCCCTCCACTTCGCAGCAAAGCGTACCCAGTATCAGGGATGTAATGGCATCTGAGCAGGGGCCAGGCTAGGGCTAGCTGTCCTCAGGAAGCCCTGTCCCTGAATGCCCAGATGGCTCCATCCCAGTGGTGCCCAAAGGGGCGGGATGATGAGGCCCCAGGCAACATTACCTTTCAGACATGGGAAGAAGGAATTGCTCTCTAGCCAAGCTATAAAGCAAAAGATATCTTCAGTAATAAGGGTGTAGCTCAGAGATGTGAAAGCAGAGGGTTTCATCCTTGGCACAGGCTAGATTTGGCTGCCTGGCCCAGGCTTCGCAGACCCAACAAGCATCTCCAGCCAGAGTTTTCACTATGCACTGTGGCCTCAGGATAAATCAGTTAACACAGCTGAACCACAGCATCCTCCTTTGGGCTAGCCAGTCACGTCCAGTGCTGGCTGGAGTCTGTTTCTCCCATCAGGATGTAGACCTTTCTGCTTGGATAAAGGAAGAGGGCACACTACCTTTCTCATGCTTTGAGAACCACGTGCCATGAAGGATAAAGACCCGAGTAAGGAGCGGCTGGGAACACAGAGGGTGTTGGGCAAGGGTGGAACTCGGGGGCCTGCTTCCTCAATTCAGCTGAATCGGGATGTTTGCCCTTATTAGGGATGCTGACGTAAGCAAGATCTGGCCTTTCCTGGGTAGAAGTCTGATCCACCTTCAAAGCACTGCCCAGCTGCTAAAATACAACCCCTCCATTTACCAAAGCCTCAGGTTGGATGTCTCCTCCCATATCAGTCCCTGAATATTGTGATCATGCTGGTGCCCTCCAATCTGGTGGCTTTCAAGGAGTGAGGTTAGGGAGGTGTAGAGGTGACTCTTGGTTTCCTTCCGCCCCAGACACTAGTGTGACTTCTCCGCACAGGCCACGGGGCTGGTGCCCACGCGCCTTGGGCTCTCATGCCTCTGCCTAAGGCACAGAAGAGGTGTGTGTGCAGCAAGGCTGAGTGGATGAGGAGGGTGAAGGAGGAGGCAGTTGAGCAAGAGGTATATTCCGAGGAGCACTGAGAGGGAGCCCAGAGTAACTGCACCACCCGCCTGGCACGCAGGAGAGCGGTCAAGCGCTGCTCACAGAGAGAGCCAGGGATTGTGGCGAAAGCGCGCTCTGTGCGGCCGTGCGCTTGCCCAGGCGACTTGTTAAGTTCATGACGCCAGATCATTGGGAAGAACCTGGGGGGTAGTGAGGTGTCTGGGGTTGGGACTTCCAGGGATTACTTCCTCTGCTACCACGTCTGTCCTGGAAAGAGAGCTGCAGCCATGTCTCTCAGTAAAAGGCTGCCTGTCCCCTGATCCCACCTGACCCTGCCTACAGGGAAGAAGACTACAGAGGGAGCCCATGGGGTTCTGTCACATGGTCTGTCCCAGACCTTCCAGCAAAAGCCAAACCAAACCATCCAGCCAGATGCAGTGGGGCGTGGGGGCCTTAGGCCCCGTGCCCCGTGCAAGGGCCACTCAGATCTCGATGAGGCTGGCGAGGCGCAGGCAGAGGGGCGCATCGACTGGCATTGCGCTGCGCTTAATTTCGTTCCCGTCCAGGCGAAGCACCTGCAGCTTGGAGAAGTTCATGACGTCCACCACGGTGCAGAAGCTGCTGATGGAGAACTCTGTGGGGACAAGAGGGGCGGGGTGGGTGGGCGAAGCCCGGATCAGGGACCCGGATCCACAGGGAGGCCGCTCAGCCTCTGTGAAGCGATTTCAACACTTCTGAGGGGAGGAGTGGGACTTGGCTGGGTGGGGCGGCGTCTTCCCGGATCGGAGTCATAGCGACTGGCCCCGCTAGGGGGCAGCACCAGGCCCGGGGTGGGGTCTCCGCCCCTGTCGGCGGCTGCGCTTCCTAACCACCCCTAATCTGCACAGTACTCTGCAGTCCCTGGAATGTCCTTGAGTGTCCTTCCCGCCGAGACCTGATCTTTTCCCATTTGTGGACAGCAGGGGGAAGCAGAAGGTAGCCAAAGACCAACCTTAGCAGCTTCGAAGGACTTTGCTGAAGGGCTCTGAGAAGGAAGTCTGGGGAAATGGATGGGCTTAAAGCTGGAATATCTCCTGACACTTTGCAGATAGAGAGAGGGGGCAGGAAATTAGAGAAATCCTGGGCAGGGAGACAAGTGTCCTTGCGTGCAGAAGCTTTGAGAGGGTGCATGTTTCCATTCCCAGCACCACCAAAGGAATGAGCAAGGCCCCGAGGTTCAAGAAGGCGGAAATTCATAGACGAATAGGGCTGTCGTGGACCTCAAAAGTCAAATAAATAATCCCCTTGCCTCCTGCATTTAATATGATATGGTTTACCCCCCCTTTTTTTTAATCTCAAAAGAAGTCTCCTTTTTGGAGATATTCCCCTCCCCCCCCAAACCACATAATCTTAATAGATACAATCGTTCTGTTTGGGTTTAACATAAATCCTTCCGTTTTCCCTCTCATTGTCCTCTTGGACATATCGGCCACATCTGTCCCAAGTCTCCTGGGTTAGGAACTTGAAGGGAAGACGCCAAGAACTCAGCACAACTCCAGGAGAGCCAGCACAAATCACCGTGAAGAGCTGCCTTCCATGCCGTGCCTGAGGGCCTCCGGAAGCTGGCTCCTGCCAGAGGGGCTCCCAATGAAGTTACCTGTCGGGTCTCAGTGGGATACATCTCCAGGGCTGTCACTAACATGGGGCAGCCCCAGAGCTTGCCTTTGCTTCCACCAGAGGCATTGCTCAGCTTGCCACTGTGGTCGGGAGGCATGGGAGGACTCGGAGGAGGATGGCCTCATGGAGGGGGGGTCATGGGTGTGAAAGGGAAGGCTGTGAGGAAGACAGTGTGGGGGGCTTAAATAGGCTTTTCAAGTAGCACTCCCTCTTAAGAACTGACCAAGAGGAGATGGGGGCAGGCTACAACTCATTAACTTGTATTGCAAACATAAGACAGAAAATCCAGCCCCAAAGAATAATGGGACACTGGACTGGGAAGAAGGGGAGTGCCCTTCTGTGGACAGCATTCAGTGGCAGGGTGGGGGGGTATGAGGAGGGGAATGGGTGGGGATGGGAGGGGTGTGGGGAAGATGGAGATCTTTTGGATATTTTTGGATGTCTCCTTTCTGGTCTCAGGAAGTAGATTAAGTGGCCTCTGAGTGGGCAGGTTCGGGGCAGAGCTTAGGCCAGGGGCTGCGCCTGTGGTAGCCACGGAGGAGGGTAGAGTGGGGGTGGGCTGGGGAGAAGTCAGTTGGGTTGGCTTATAGATCACTTCCAAATCTACTGCACTAGATGGATTCTCTACCCCAGCCTTGGGCCCTCAGACCATCCGCTAAAATCTTGGATCCCTCCACATGTATGTGAATATGGGGGATACTTAAGGGCTGCAGATGCCCTGTGCCCCTCTGTTTGCCTTCCCCATGCTTACAAAGAGGACAGGGCTTTTGCTTGGAGACCCTGGAGGACATTTTCCAGCCCAGATTAAATACTGACATAAGTCTTTCCAAATTCCTCCCGGGGTACCCACCCTGCTCCCTTGGATCCCACAACTACTGAATAACATTCCGAGCTGTGTTCCCTTGCTGTTGCCAGGCTGGAAAATCTGAGGGAGATGCTAATAGAAGAGGCAAGGGGGAGGGAAGGGACTGGCTTGATTCCCCTGCACACCCTTTAGTTCCTGCCCTCCATTTAGCTCCTCCCCAGAGGATTGCTTCAGTCCCACCTCCACCACCACCCCCACTGGCTGTGGGAGGACACCCTAGGAGAGGGGCCTGAGCTTGAGGCACTGTCTTTCCTGCCGGTGGTCTGAATCAGAGAGCTATCCTCACGTTCTCAGTCAGAGACGCCTGGCGCCAGGTCCTTGGATGTTGAAGGCTGGCCTTCAGGGTTTTACCTACATAGCCTTGGGTGGCCTGGAGAGATGGCTGCTTCTTCTCAGTGCCCCCATCTTCACAATGCAAGAAGTCAAACAAAACAGAACTCTGCCTGTCAACTCCCAAGTGGCAAGGAGAGCAGAAGTTAGTCCTAGTTATCGTGTATTGCTTCTCAGCTATGTGCCAGGCCCCGGACCAAGCACCTCCTGTGTCTTGATTCTCTAATTTAAGACAAAGTAAATGTAAGAACTGGTGTTATTTTGCCTCAGAAGAAGACTGGCAGAGAGACTAAATGATAACTAGGTCAGGGGATTTGGCTTAAATGACACAAGAAGGGACTTGGAGGAGACACTGAACATTTTTCGGTTGTTTGACTTACTGGAGAACTTTCTCGCAAGACCTTGGGACACTTCACTGAAGTGGTTTTATCTTCCGCAGAGCTTTGCGAAGGGGCGGGCCACCCTGTATTTGAGTGGCAGACGTGCTCCGCACGGAGGCAGGCGGTGACAGGGTGCCGTCATGGAGCCCTTCCCACCCCGACTTTCTCTGACTGTGTATCATCAGGCAGTAACCAATGGGCTCCCTCCCACGACAGCTGCTCTTTGCTGTCACATCTTCAGGGGCAAACACAGCACATAATGTGACATTTCTGATGTGACAGTCCCCCTGGGTTCAGAGTAGGGTGGCAGGTGACTTCTGGATGGGATGATGGACAGCCACAAGTAAATGTCAAACCCTTTGCAGCCTGAGACATCTCAGAGACATCTCAGATTCTCTTGGGAATAAGACCTCCCCGCACTCCAAAAAAGAGAGACTTTACATATAAAACAGTTTGGGTGCCCATGATGGGGTCTTGCACTTCGAACCAGAGGACCAGACACCTCCTTGCCTCACCCGCCCTGCTGTCGACCTCTGGGACTCGGTGCCTCTCTCACTCAGAGGGCTGTCCAGCCCGTTTATGTCTTGCTAAATGACTGATCTGTTCCCTGAGCACTGGGAGAGAAAGAACAGAGCAGGAGGGGATGAAGGCTCAGTCCCTATCTATGCTTTGATGGTGTGGTTTGCTCACAGCAGCCTCCGCTTCAAAGCCCTTTGCCAGGTAGTGAGTCCTTTCCCAGGGAAAGGGGGACTTTGCTGACCGAGGAAGGCTCAGTACCTTCCAGCTGGGATTCCAACATCAGAGGCCCTGGGGTAATGTAAGCACATTCTGAACACAAGATCCTGACATGGAGCTGAAAAGCAACTAGATCATTCTACCCAAAATGAGTATTTTAGTTCTAAGAGGCAGAAAGGCAGCCCTTTTGATTCCTTGAGGCATTCGCCGGGAAGTGCTTGGAAAACAAGAGGCCTGTGTCCTTGCCTGTTGCCCCAGGGCTTTGTGGTGATAGGGCCCCTGTTACTCTAGGGGGACCTCTGCCCCGCCACCAGGGGCTCCTTGCACTCCAGGGAGAACGGACCAGAACAAGTACCTCATTCAGCTTCGAGAGGCTGCACATTCTTATCCAACAGCTGTTATGTTTAAAAGACAAACAGCCAAACACACGGCCGGCTGTAGAGGCAGGGGTAGGGCATGTGGAAACAGAGAGCTCATCCTCTTCTGGGTCAGTGAATAAGAACGAATGCCATGGTTTCTTAACAGTCCACCTTCCTCCCAAGATGGACCCTGGAAGTTCAGCTTAAATCCCCCTCTCTAGGAACTGCTCTCATCCAAACCTCCGCAAACTCATCTCTCCTTGCTCCTCAACACGTGAGCCCTTCCTCTCAGACACACAGATTTCCTGGCTGTCCCCTACAGGTGACCCATTAAATGACTGGTTCCTCTGCGGCACTCCCACTTCCCAGAACGGCTTTGCCCCTTCCCTCCAGCCCGAGCTCACTTAGCTCTCAAGACTTAGATGGAAGCTTACCTCCTCTGGGAAGTCTTCTTCCAAGCCAACCCACCCCCCACCCCGAATTTTCCCAGCACTGCTGTTTGGTCTAGGGGCGTGCCATTTTGGACCTCCTGGACAGGGGTAGAGCGTGGATTGCAGGTGGCTTCATTTGTGCTCTCTGGTTCCCCTACTTCATTGCTGCTAGCACTCACAAGAGGGTGTTTTCCAATGAGACAGCCAGCCACTCCCCACTCCCCTTTGTCAGTGTCTCACCATTGATCCTATTGCCTTGGAGGTAGAGATTCTCCAGGTTGGTGTTGACTGGGGGGATCTTCTGCAGCTGGTTGTAGGAGAGGTCAAGCTCAAGGAGGCTGCTGGAGTTGAAGGTGTTGGAGGCCAAGCCATTGTTGGTGAGACTGTTGTGGGACAGCCGTACGTACAGCAGCTTGGGCGACCCCCGGAAGTAGCTATCGGGGACGGAGTAGACATTGTTGTGCTCCAGGTACAGCTGCTCGAGGGCTATGGGCAGTCCATCAGGCACCTTCCGCAGGTGGTTGTAACTCAGGTCCAGCAAGATCAGTGACCGGAGGCCCCTCATCGCACTGCCCACTTCCTGGATCTCGTTGTGCTGGAGGTACAAGGCTGTGAGGTTCTCCAGCCCCTCCAGAGCGTTGTTGGGGACCCTCGAGATCTGGTTGTGGTCGAGATGGAGCTCCCTCAGGGATCGAGGCAGCGGGCCGGGAATGCGGGTCAGGTTGTTGTGGTCCAGGTATAGCCTCTCCAGGTGCCTCAGCTTGGAGAAGATCTTCCTGCCCACCTTATCGCTAGTGATCTGGTTGCCATGGAGAGCAATCCAGAGCAGCCCGGTGGCATTGTCGAAGACACCTTCCTGGATGGACGAGATCTGGTTGTTCTGGAAGTAGACGTACTTCATGCGGGAAGGGACGAAGGGCAGATACTTGAGGTTGCGGTTGTCACAGTACATGGCCGTGGGGAAGTTGGGTGGGCAGTCGCACTCCTGAGGGCAGTCACGGGGCTCTGGAGGGGGCGGAGAGCCGTAGGCATAGGCTGGGCCCTCCTCCACCCCATAGGGGTAGGGCTCGTAGGGCTCATACGGGTAGGGGTCATAGGGATCGTAGTAGGTGGACTGCTGGCTGCGGAGGTAGTGGAACCACCAGTGGGGATCTTCGTCGTACTGGGCCCGGGAGAGGGAGCAGAGCCCGGCCAGCAGCAGGAGGGAGGCCCACTGCATTTTGTCTCTCTGCAAGAGCCAGGAGAGAACAGAGAAAGCAGGCATGAGTGAGACAGCAGGGAGGCGGGCAGGCGAGCCTTGGGCTGTGAATGATCGGATCTGACTTCTGCAGCAGGCCCCTGGGACTGGGAGCCTCGCCCTCACTTCCCACACGCCTCCCCCCAGGGCCGGCTCTGCACACCTGGTCCAGCTGGACCATGGCTACCTGCGGGAGCTGGGTACACTTTACCCGGCTCACAGAGTCACAGAAGCAGAGCCTTCGAGATTAGAAGGAACTTGAATGGGGGGCACTGCATTTTTTTTTTCAAGGGGCCGGTCCTTAGGAGCCTCCAGCAACCTGAAAGTTCTGTTGGGAGAGCTGGAAAGCCCCAGCAGTCATCCCTGCGCGCGGGGTGGGTGGGTGGGGGGGTTGCTCTTCAGGCCTGAATTCCCATTCAGTTTGGACTCCCCGGGGATATAATATTTTCCAAGAAAAAAAGCCCTCTGGTTCTTTCCCTGTCTCTGGGAAACCTTCAGAAGCATCTTGAGACCTCGAAGGGGGAGATCTGAACTACTCCTGGAAGATCTTTTGGTCTCTTGGGTGGGGGTTTCTGGTTTCTAGTCTTTGGGGAGGGGTGTGGTCCGTCTGCAGTCACCGCAAGGCTTGGGCTGCCTTCCAAAGTGTCAATGTCTGTAGCAGTCTGCTGGGTGAGAACGCTCTCCGGTCGGCAGTCTGCGGCTACGCACGCCACCTGGCTGACACAGCGTCTTCGTGCAACAGCGACAGTCCCCCGCAGACTGGGGACCCTGGCAGCAGGTGTGGTGGTGTCTTCTAGGGTGGGTACTGAGTGTGTGGAGCCTGAGTCAGTGCACTTGGCTTCTGTGGTATCAAGTAAAGAGTTAGCCCCCTCATGCTCCACCATGGACTTTATGCTAGAGCCTCAGGGTGCAGAGAAATGAATGAGGGACACTGAGAAATGGAATAGGAATTGAGGACACCTGTGTTATACCCAAGAGAATGTGGCTTTGGAATGGGATTCTGGCATCCCCCTCTCCCATCCTGGGCTACCTGTGATGACATCTGGATTGCCAGCCTCCATGACTAGCCCTCCCCTCCCCCCATAGCCAGGCAACCTGTTACCTTGAGCTCGTATGTTAGTGAGATGAGAACAGGGCAGGCTTGGAGAGAAAGGTGGGTTTGGTGCATTCTGGGAGGGAAGCTGAAGGTATGGAAGATGAGGAAGCTTACTGGTCACCCTACCCTGAGTACCTATAGCCAATGCCCTGGATAGCCTTTGTGAGCAATGGGAACCTTCCAGAGGTGTGAGGGTCACCCTTGGACAGAGGAACCTTAGAACATTTCCTGGTCCCGGAAGGGTTGCATATATCCCTTACATTGCTGTTGGGCCTCCTAGGGTTGGCAACTGGAGACAGAAGAAAGAAAGGAATCTAGGAGTCAGCATCAAATCCAATGATGGGAAAGACCCTGACTGTGACACTCAATCTGGTCACCTCTGCCACCGTTCCTCCCAGGCCCCAGACCTCTCTGTTTCCTGAAAGTGATTCCCATTGGCCCCCTTATTCCGTTAGCCTCTGGGCTGCAGAAGAGAGACACCTGGCTCATCCTCAAACAGCCTCAGGCCTCAGACAAAGAACCCACAGTGTTTCTGAGAAGCCAACCCAACTGCCCACTGCCTGGGCACGCTGGCTGGGCCCTGGCTCCGGCCAGGAGAGAAGATGGATGGAGCGGCCCACTGCCAACAGCGCATTTTTCCATGCACAGCCCTGGGCTGCTGCAGGACCAAGGTAGCTGTCTGGAGGCTGCCACAGTGAGCCTCTGTCTCCATTTCTCCTTCCAGACTGGGCATGTTGGCAGATGAGAGCCACCTTTCTCTTCAAGACCCAGCTTTCCAGGGGCTGTGCATCCTGCCCACTCGGGCCTCTCCTTAGGAGCCATGACTGCTAAGAGGGCTGGGTGGGGAGCTTCTGCCTCTCCTCTGCTCCATCTCTTAGCAGTGCTGCTCCAGGGTCATATACTTTTAAATCTCTCTGCCCACCCTAATGACAGAGACCTTCCTGTGCTCAGAGTTTCGTGAGGTAGAAAGTTTCTGGGATGGGTGCTCCCTGAGTTGTGGGGAGCTGACTCAGGAGTTAATGCTCTTCTCTCATTTCTCCACTCTAGGGAATGATCTTTCCCTCCTATCAGGGTTGAAGAGGTCAGACCAAAATTTGTCTCCTCTGCTGGATTGGACCCTCCTTCATGGCTCCCTGAACATGGTTGATTCTCAACACTTCTCTTTATTCTTTCCCTTTCACCCCAGCAACACACACACACACACACACACACACACACACACACACACACTCACACCCCCCCCATCCTTCCCCTATAACAGCACTCAGGTACCATCATCTGCCTATAGGACAGACTGCAGGGCTGGGGTGGTGGGATTATGAGCACTAGCAGGACAGAGCTGGCTTCTTTAGATACCTGGTCCTTCCCTTTTTCATGCTTGAGAAGGGGAGGTCCCCCCCCAACAACCAGAAAGGAACTGTAGGACAGAGATAACACGTTCCCTCTACTCCCCCTTGCCCCTCTCCAGCATCCTGGGGTCATGGGCCGGATGGGAGAATGAGGAATGGTTGCCCCCTGTCAGCCCCTCTCCCCAAGCCCCAGCCCTTTCCTTTACTCCCGCTATGGAACTACAAGGGACAAAAACTGAAGTAAAATGACTAAACTTACCTCCAGTTGAACCTTTCAGAGAGTGACCACGTCCTTCTGTCTGGCCTCCTTGGGTTGGAGAACGTGTGAGAGAGAGAGACAGACAGAGTGTCTACTGAGAGTGTGCGGGCCTGTGCCAGGCCAGGGTCCCGCCCCCAAATTCCTAATCAAATATTGTGAAGAAAGGGACTGAGGAGGCCGGATCCTGGCTTTTTCGGCTCCGCTGCAGGGGCGGAGCTCACACTCAACCAAGCAAAATCCTTCCGTCCGCTTGACGTTAGAAAAACCACCTTCTTTCCACTCACTTATCTTCCCTAAAGCATTGGCAGCTCTGAGTCTCTTTCTGCTGAATGAGTTAGTGGCACCCTGGAAGGTATTTGTATAGTCTCTTACCAAGTGCCTGGCTTTCTCATTAAACCCACAAGGGCAGATGCAGGGCTGGGGAGGGCCAGGACTGGGGAAGAGGCCATCTTAACTCTTTCAGCAACCCATGGGTCACCCCAGAGAGCCAGGACTACTCAGCCTTCTTGCCTCCCCCTCCATGCAGGTGCTTAGACTAGTGCACGAGCTGGCATGACACAGGAGAGCTGGTTCTGGCTCCACTTCTATCCCTTAGCAGTGTAGACTCGCCTGGGCTGCAGGGTTTCTCTCCTCCATTGGAATTAATGGAAAAGAATGGGAGCTCACCTTTGTGGATCACTTACTGGGCACCAGCATCACAAATTTCATTTAATCCCCTGGCAACCATTCAACTTTCTGTCTCTACGAACTTGACTACTCTAGAAACCTCACATACGTGGAATCGTACAACAGTTGTCTTTCTGTGACTGGCTTATTTCACTTAGCATCATGTTCTTAAAATTCATCTGTCGTAGCATGTGGCAGAATTCCCTTCCTACAACATTCTCTTGTATGTGTAGACCACATTTTGTTTATCTGTTCATCCATTGATGGACATTTGGGTTGCTTTTGCCTCTTGGCTCTCGTAAATAATGCTGCTGTGAACGTGCGTGTACAAATATCTTTTTGAGACCCTGCTCTTAATTAATTTAGATAGATGCTCAGAAGTGGAACCATATGGTGATTCTATTTTTAATTTTTTAAACCACCATACTATTTCCCATAGTAGATGGGAATGCCAACAGGGCACAAAGGTTCAAGTTTGAAACACTCCTTATTTTTTAAGAAATACCAATTGAGAAAGCTTCAGATTTGAATTTGAAGACTTTAGAGGTGTCGAGGCAGATGCAATTTTTGGCTGCTCTAATAGGTCTAAACTGTGTAGGCCATCAGAAAGGTCCTTGTCAGGAATCCACTCTTCTCAGGGCTTATGAAGAGTTTTTTTTAAAGAGTAAACATAACGAATGGGTATTTGTTGATCACCTGCTATAAACTAAGTGGTCTACTGATGTTATCTCACTTAATGATCACAGAAGGTATTTTGTGTTGAAAATAGAGGTGCAAAGATGTGGTGTGACTAGCTAGAAAGTGGTAAAACAAGGATTTGAACCTAGATCTGCGTGATTCCAAAGCCCACAGGCTTTCCCACACCAAAAGGCCAGAGGACTGATGGAGTGGTAGGGGCGATGACCACCCTGCTGTCACAGTTGGACTCAATTCATATGGAACCCAACTAATTACAGTGGCCCAATCTTCTGGAATCCCAGGGGAGGGTAGCAGGGAGAGGGGGCTGGGATACAGGGCTTCTCTTTCCAAGTCCAGACATATTTCCTTTCAATTAATAAATATGAGCCTCTACTCTGTGCCTGGCATGGTCTTAAATGTTGGGGATGCAAAGAAGGTTGTAATATAATGCTTGCTCCAAATAAAGCAGGAGGCTTTGCAGCAAACTCCAACTCCACAAGGGAGGCAGAGTGGCCTTAATGTGAAGATGGTTATCAATAATGCACAGGTAACCTTCTCATCATTTTGAGTCCAGAAAGCAGTCACTTTTCAACAGAAGACACTGGTTTTGGTAACAGGGCCCAAGAGTTACTTCTTAGATGGGCCTAGATAGCCAGGCACATCTGCCCACTGAGTACAGAGGTTTATTATTATTTTTTTTAATTGCAGCAATACTGCATTTACTAACAGTGAAAGTCAGGGGAGCCAGGGGGCCATCCATTGACTGGGATCCTTCCCAACCAAGCTCCCCCCAAAAAAGCAGTACCTCCATGTGTTTTGTTGACCATTTCTAAAATGGTAAGATTTGTACCAGATCTTTCGTAATCTATCCTCTTCCGAGGTAGGCTTGGGAGGAAGAAAGACGAGAGGATGACTAGGACAAGATCAGGAGGCACATTCCAGGGGGACCATCCACAGTTCAGAAGTTCCACTGTCAATGGGCTCTAGTCTCCATTTTGACTCCCATTGCTCTGTTTGCCTGGGTCCTGGATCTAGGCCTTCTGAGCTTGGCTTCAATATGGGAAACCAAGTAGGGGGTACTGATGTCCTCCAGATTGCCGAGGGAGTCCACATTGGAAGGGGTTCATTTGGGACACTGGTGCTCTCTGGGAGGTCAAGCCAGCATTGCCCAGTCACCAGACTGCAAGCAAACTAAAAAGAGAGGCTATGTTACACATTTATGTAGCCCCATCCCCAGACAGGCATACAATGCCTGGCACTTAGTAGGTAATCAGTAAAGAATTGTGGAATGAATTGTATTTTTGGCTCCCTACAGAGTCTGCCTGTCTTCAGTACCCAAAGCCGGGTAGAATAATCACACTACCAAGGCCAGGAAAACCATTTGGCCTTCAGTCCTATTTGACTTTCCAGGGGTTCAAGCCACTGTTATTTCCTCTCCACCCAGAAAAGTACAGGTTAAGCCACAACCACTAGGCACAGCTGATTGTCTCTGATATTGGATCCACACTGTCTGGAAGGGATGAAATGTGTTCTGATTCAAATTCCTACTGGAATTCAAAGACACAGTGGCTTTGGTGGCCACCAACCCCTTCCTCTTTCTCCCCCATAGGACCCAATACTTCTTGTTTTTATAACACAGCCTCTGATCCCAAACAACCAGGGGATGGGGTGGAGGTGGTGGGATAAGAATGGAAATCCACCCAAACAAAATTAGTGAGTTGAATATAAAGAGGTCAGTAGAAAGATGATCATGGTGATACAATCCAGGCTCCACTTCTGGCCCATCCTGAAAACTCTTGATGCCAGAGAGGGATTATTTATTAGTCTGATGTTTCAATAGAAAAGTCTGGGCTACCCTGGCACCCAGTCGTAGTGTCCCAAAGTTTCCAAGGGAGTTTTTTCTCCTTATTCTTTTGGCATTGAGGAGCTATTTGAAGTCCTCACCATGGATAGTCTCCTTTTTCCAGAAGGACGAGACAAAGATGATGGAGCTGGGGGAGAGACTTGTTTTCTTTCAAATGCGATAGGAGGAAGACCTTGAGTTTGAAGTTCTGGGAAATGCATTGAGGGCTTCAGAATTTTCTTCTAATAAGCTCCTTAAAAATAAGATAGAGAATATCGTTTCTCTTTTTTAATGGATAGAATCTCTTATTTTGACTGTGTATTTACAGCATGCTTGGTACTACAACTTGATGACATGATGGATTCCAGAAGATCACCTTCTAGAAAGTGTGAATGCACTTGAATTGAGAAACCAGGGTTGGTTCAGGGAAAGATACCTAAATGAGGAAGGAGGCAAAGGAGATAACCTGAAATCTGAAGTCTGGAGGCCACTCAGTGTAGGGCATCCTTCTTTGTTTTGCAAATGAGCTAAGAACTAATGATGTTCCTGAAACTGTGCTGGGGGAGAGAACTGATGTAAGATGGACCAGTTCCCAGGATTCTGGCACCAGCTAGGATTACCTGGCTGTAGGTAAGAATAGGACTAGATATTAGCTCTAAAATACCAGCTACCATTTCTGAAATTCTTACCACAACCTTATCAAATAAGTATTATCATACCTTATTTTTACAGATGAAGAAATGGAAATTTAGGAAGGCTATAAATTTGTTCAAGATTGCTAACAATCAAGTGGCAGAGCTGGGATTTTAAACTTGTCTGTCTGCTTCTAGAGACTGAGTTCCTGACCACTATGCACATAGAATCTCCAGTGTAAAGGAATAAGCGTAGGTTTGGAACACATGTATTCAGATTCCATCTTGACCACTTATTGTCTCCATGACATTGGGCTAATTGCTTATTCATCAATGAGACTTCATTTATAAAATGGCAGCAATAACCCTAACTTTGTGAGATCTTGGGAAGACTAAATGAGATAAAAAATAGAGGCTCCTGGTAGGGAACCTGTCATGTGGTGGTTCTTCAATAAATGGCAGCTGCCTTTGGTTATTTTAGCAGATTGCAAGTTCCCTGGGGGGATGGGGAGCAATCTCATTAGTCGACATAATGCTTGGCCAAGTGCCTGGCATTTATTAGGCCCTTTCTAAACGTTGGTTGAATAAATGAAACGTGTAGAAGCTGGATTTTACTAAAGGGTAGTAAATCTACTTTGGTAACTTAAACCAATCAGAGAAAAGCTAGTTAAGGTTAGAGGTGGGACTTTCAGTGCCTAGAATTTTTGCCTCTCCTCCCCCACCCTGCCAAGGAAGGACAAGAGAAGTGACTGCAAGGTCAGTGTAGGACACTCTACAGACATGGAGAAATATCTTGGGGCGGGGGTCATGGAAAAGGTCAGGATCTAAGAGCCAAGTACAGAACAGCCCAGAAGAGGAGATGCCCCGGCTCCTTCTCAGACGGCGTTTAAGAGTCAGGTTTAGGGTGGAGAGAGGGTAGAACAAGAATAATACCTAGCCAGTAGCACCATTCTGAATCCCTTTGGGCTGAAGAAAGAAATTGGCTCCTACCTGAGGATGGGCAGGGCTAGTTCTTCAAAGCAAGAACTAGTGACCTGGGCCCATGCAAAGGTCTAAGGACTTGGATCTAGTTCTACTGGAGTTCGGAGAATAATGGAGAATAATGATCCCTAGTAATGTGTGTGATGTCTTGAACTCTGGTTCATTCCATCATCTGCTTACCTCTGTATGGTCCCTGTAGTAAAGTAATAGCTTAACAATGAAATTTTTAAAAAATAAGGAAAACTCTTTAAAAACAAAAAGGGGTTTAAGAAAAGCAATGTATTATCATTGTCTCGGAAAGGGCATGGATTTTGAGTCAGACAGAATGGCTTTGAATCCCAGAAACTTAGAGTGTGTTCCTTAATTTCCTTGGTCTTCAGGTTCCTTATCTGTAGAATGGGAATGATTACCACCTAGCTCATCAGGTGGTTTTATTTTTATTTAAAAATCTTTTTCATTAGGTGGTTTTAAAGCAATTGGAAGTGTCTAGCACAGCGCCAGGCGCACGGAAGACACTTAGAAAAATGTCACTTCTTTTCCTCACCTTGGGTATTTTCCAGGAACAGGCTGGGGCTGAGGTATAGAAAGGAAGACCTGGTGTCCTAATCTAAGGAAAGGTCAGAGAGATGATTTGGGGAGGAATATGGGGGGCGGCAGCTTGGGAAGGAAATGGACGACGTACTTGACACTTGTAAGGAAGAAACAGAACTGGAGGTTCACAGGCCCAAAGGGTCTAGGATTCTGGCAGCACAGCCCTCCATTTGAGGGGACCGGTTCTTAGCTCTGGCTGCACAGGGGAGCCAGTGGGGAGGCTTTCCAGAGCACCCAGGCCCAGGCCCCACTCCAGATGAATGAAATAGGATCTATGCAGATGGGACCCGGCATTTTCTTATTGATTGACAGATGATTTTAGTGTTTAGCCAGGTTTGAGAGTGCTCTCTGGAGGCAGGGAGATTGATGTGATGACCTCTAAAATAGAGGCTATTGCTGAAACCTCTGTCTCTAAAAAGAGGGGCTTTTTTTTTTAAGAGGGGCTTTTTAAACATTTCTTCATGAAGTGCCCAGAAAAGGAGCAAAGAATGCAAGAAGAATCCAGTAATCAAAGGGCACCATTCAAAGCAGCCCCCTCAAGCTGAAATCTCACATTTGATGTTAAAAAGTCATGTGATTTTTGCATTTTGGTCCATAAAACATTCATGTTTATTTCCATAGCAATCTCCCTCCTCCCCCACGAAAACTCCTGGGGAATAAATGGTGCTCTAGATATACACCATGCTTCTCCAGAGGCTCTGTGGGCCCGGGGAATCACAGCCTGAGCAGCCATTCACCTTGGCTGGTGAGCTTCCTGGTCACTGCAGGGACAGCTGGGCGAGCTGCCCCTATGCATCTCGCATCTCAGGGATGCACCACGGCTCCGGAGTTCACAGACCAGCTCCCTCCGTCTGTTGCTGGAGCATGAAGAGGAAGAACTGTTGCTTCTTCACCACTTTTCCTATTGGAGAAACTGCCAAATGGCTCCCAGCCAAGCCGCTTGGTAAGCTTTGCGAAGAGCTGAATTCCTTTTCCAATCCCCATGAGGCTATATTTCTAAGGGAATTTGCAAGAATAGAAATTGTTTTGATCTTCACTCAAGATACAGAAAGATTCACTCCCTCCTCCTGCCTCCCACTTCTTAAATCCCCAGCCATGTTAAGTAACACCCCCCTGTGGGAGAGTTTGCTCCCCTGCCCCACCGGCCAGCAACCAGCCTCCCAGGGCAGCCTGTTCTCCAGCTTTGCCTCCTGAAGCCCCTGATGTTTCCTTGTGACCTGCCCCTCTCTGCCTCCAGCTCCCTCTTCATCCACTTCAACAAAACAGCATCTTCCAGGAGCCAGTGTGTTGGGCTTTGAGGGGAGAACTGGGGTATGGGGTGCAGGGTCAGAAGAGAGTGCCTTCTTTCTGGAGAACCAGAAAAAGGAAGACGAAGGGAATTGATATTTTTGAAGGCTCTAGGCTGGGTCCTCTACCTACAACATTTAATCTTCATAAAACCCCGAAACATAGTTACAATTATTTCCATTTAACAAGGAAGGTAAACTGAGGCTCAAAGAGGTGAACTGAGATTTTAACACAAGCCCAGCTTGTGCAGGGTGTGAAGGAAAGTTTGCCTAGGGGAGCGGATGAATGAGTAGATCAAGTCAACTGGGAAGCAAAGTGTGCCCCAGGGTCACCAGCAATCACTGTTGTCAGCAGACCCCCCCCCCCCCCCCCCCGCCCCAGAGAAATAGACTGACCGGGATTCTCTGGGCTTCTCCCGGGCAAAGCCAACTCTTCACCATCCTCCTTTCTCTTGCTGTGGAGGGTCTCCCATCAATGGCAGACAAGGGCAGCCGTAGAGACACTCAAAGCCTGTAGGACAACCCCCACTGGTCTAAAGCAGGCTTCTGTGCCCACCGGGGAGTGAGGAAAAAAGCTCTCTTGGAAGGCCCCCCGCTCTGGAAGATCTGCTCCTGGGGTCTCCGCCCTGGAGTCTGGGGTGGGACATCACCTAACCTGCAGAAGGCCCTCCTGACCCTGTTTGTTCTTTTCCAGAACCAGGCTTCCATGAGAACCAAGCCCGCAAGGTATGGAGGTGAATGGGGCCTTCTTTTATTCTTTCTTCCTTTTTCTGTGTTCTTGCCTAGGTTTCTCTGACCTTGGCCCTGGTGTGTACTGACGTTGTCGGAGACATAGCTGCCCCTCAAGCCCCCACCCATGCCTGGGACGTCGTGGATATTCGCTCAGGTTTGCTACCTTGCACAGAGTTGACAGCTGCCAGACAGCATCTTGCCTCCAACGGAGGGGGAAGCCGAGGGGGGCAGGAGGCGGGGAGGGAAGCGGGAGGAGGCCCCGAGGTAGAAGGCCTGGTCTTCCTTGGCCGCCGTGTGGAGAGGCACCAGTTTCACCGGTGACTGGGGTTTGACTCGAACGCGTGCCATTCTTGGGCAGGGAAGGAAGAATTGAAAGGTTAGGAGCTGAGAGAAGTTCTTGTCTAGTCTTGCTGTGGTTCTTAGAGCCCCGTGTCAGCAGCCCCCGGCCTGGGAGCCCCTGGAGGCTCAGAGCTTTGTGGGGGTGTCACCAGGTGGCATTTTAAGCGAGTGGGAAAAGTGACTGGGGTTCAGACCCAAAGTTGATGCTTTATTTTATTTTATTTTTTTTTTAAAGATTTTATTTATTTGTCAGAGAGAGAGAGAGAGCACAAGTAGGGGGAGTGGCAGGCAGAGGGAGAAGCAGGCTTCCTGCTGAGCAGGGAGCCCGATCCCGGGACCCTGGGATCATGACCTGAGCCGAAGGCAGACGCTTAACGACTGAGCCACCCAGGCGTCCCAAAGCTGATGCTTTAATAAGCGTCCTCTTCTCCGCTGTGGGAGGCGCTCTGCTAACTGACCACAGCAGGAGGGCGGCGGGGAGAGGACGCGCAGGCGGCTTGTAGGTCAAGGGGATTCAGCTTCTGTTGCTCTGCCAGGGACAGAGGCCCGCCTCCGGGAAGCCCTACCCCTGCTGCATTATTCTGCCTCCTCTGTGGAGCACCGGGGGTCACCTCTCCTGGTGCCAGTGTGTGTGCGTGCATCCGGGAGCGTGGTGGGTGCAGGCTGTGGGGTTGGTGTGGGCTGGCCCCCTCTCCCTTCCCACGAAACCTTCTTCAGCCTGCCGTCTGCACCCCAACGGAGGGTCAGACACAGTCCTTGGGACTCCGGAAGCACCAGTCCCTCCCAGGCCAGGAGGGAAATGCAAGGGGACACTAAGGAGCCATTACCCGAGGCCTCCAGCATCCGGGACTCGAGTGAACTTGGCTGCCAGGTACAGGGAACCTTGAGCACGTCTGGCAGGGTAACAGCAGCACCAACCCAGGGCCAAGGAGCCCAGCGGCTGCAACTCGCTTCCACTTTACATTTTGCGGCTCAGAGAGGTCACCTGGCCCCGGTCGCCTAGGGTCATGGCCCCAAGGGCAGCAGGCTGCTCAGCCAGAGGTTGGTGACAAGGGGCCTGCTGGACCTCGGCATCCTCTGGGGGTCAGAGCAGGGCATGGATGAGGGCGTGTCCCTCCTGCTTGGCCGTCTAAGAAAGTAGCCTTTTCCTGGTGAGCTCGTAGCACCTGAGACTGTTCTCTTCCCAGCACACACATACTGCTCTGTCCACCCAGGCCTTCTGCGATCTTTATGCGAAGGAAGGAACCCAGGACAATCAGCAGAGGAGACCTGGGTACCCATCTGGAGTGCTGCCCCCTCCTTCCCTACGGTACACATCCAGCCCCACCTCCCCTCGTGGCCTCTGCCTCCTGGGGACTCTCCGCAAGGAAAGCAGTGCCCTTAGGTGCTTGGAGATCAGCGGGGAAGGAGGCACTAGGGGAGTGTGGAGCGTTGTTCATGAGCTAAAAGCGAACCCTGCCTGCGCACTGCATTCCTGCCATCACCCCTGCAGCCTCCCCCATCCCGCCGGCCCCGCCGCTTGCTACCGTCTCTGGGGCTGGAGCCCGGCTCACCTTTCTGACGGACACTGCTGTGGGGGAAGAGGCTCTCTCGGTGCTAATAGAAACCCATTGTCTTTGCCGGTAATGCTCTGCCGCCTGCGATGGGTACGTGGGGAGCTCCGGGCACAGTCGCTGCCTGCAGAGGGAGGGATGCTGCCCGTGGGAACTGTGTCCTCCAGGGAGCCGCAAGCCCGTGGGCGCATCAGGGCCCGCGTGGATCACACATGCCTGTGCAGTCTGGCGGTGCCGCTCGCCCGGGGAGGCTGAATTCAGCCACATGCAGAGAAGCGTGGCTGCCTTGTGCTTCGGAGGAGAGCCACGGCAAGCCGCCCTGGTCCCTCCTCGTTTTAGAGGAGTCAGCTAGCTAGAGGTACGCACACCAGCGACTTCACACGTGGCAGCGACTTCCCTGTATATGAATGTGTGTGTTTGTTTTTTTTTTTTAAAGATTTTATTTATTTATTAGAGAGAGAGTGAACATGAGAGGGGGGAGGGTCAGAGGGAGAAGCAGACTCCCTGCCGAGCAGGGAGCCCGATGCGGGACTCGATCCCGGGACTCCAGGATCATGACCTGAGCCGAAGGCAGTCGCTTAACCAACTGAGCCACCCAGGCGCCCGAATGTGTGTGTTTTATTAGATGAAAGTCACCTGGTACACAAGTAGCCGTCCTCATGCGGACATTTCAGGGTCGTTGTGCATTCCAAATATTGTGCAGCCACCACGCTCTGGTCTCAAAAAGATTTTTTCCCCCAGAAGAACACCCTTCACCCATTAAGCGATCACTCCCCCCTCCCCCTTCCTCCCATTCCCTGGCAACCACAGATCTGCTTTCTATCTCTGCAGATTTGCCTAGTCTGAATATTTCATATAGAAGAAATGATACAATATGTGACCCTGTGTCTGGCCTTCACTTAGCACCACGCCCTCACGGCACATCTGTGTTGTAGCGCGGGCTGGGACTTCATTTCTTTTTATGGCCGAATGACATTGCGTTGTATGGATGTACCGTTTCCACCTTTTAGCTATTGTGGATAGCTGTGAACATTTGTGAGTGAGTTTTTGTTTGAGTACCTGTTTTCAGTTCTTTGGAGAAAATCCCTAGGGGTGGAATTGCTGGGTCATATGGTAACTCTATGTTTCACTTTTTAAGGACATACATTTTTATTTGACCTTCACAGCATCCCTATGTGCTAGACAGAGTAGATATTAGAGAGAATGCATACTAAGCATCCAGCTCATTACCCTGTACATAATATGCTCTCAGTAAATAAAAAAAAAAAAGATTTTATTTATTTATTTGACAGAGAGAGAGAGACAGAGAGAGAGCACAAGTAGGCAGAGCGGCAGGCAGAGGGAGAGGGAGAAGCAGGCTTCCTAAGGAGCAGGGAGCCCAATGCAGGGCTCGATCCCAGGACCCCAGGACCATGACCTGAGCCAAAGGCAGACGCCCAACCGACGGAGCCACCCAGGTGCCCCTGTGCTCAGTAAATTTAAAAATGTTATTATCAGATGTAGAAACTGAGGCTCAGGGAGTGGAAGCGACTTGCTCAAGCACACTAAGTGTAGTAGAATCAGAACAGAACCGAGGCTGCCGGTTTCTAGTCTATACAGCCCATGTTCTTGGAGCAGATCTCAGGAACTCAGGCCATAGTTTCTGCCCTGAAAACAACCCCAGTACTATGAATTTCCCCACGGGCTCAGGGACTTGCCCCACCCTGACCCAAGAAGAGACAGGACAGCTGAGCAGAGAGCCCTTCTAGTCGGCTCTCCCAACCCACCAACCCACCACACTGCCTTGCCCTCTCCCCGGGCCTGGGCCTCGCCGGTGCAGCCGTGACAGCAGGTGGAGGGTGGCGCTGATTGTACCCGACAGCTGGCTGAGCTGTCACCTCCCTTGAGCTCCCGTTGTCTCTACAGAGCCCCTCATTTTCCTGCCCTGCGGCCCACCTGCCAAAGAGCTGCGTTGAGCCTCCCCCTCGGGCAGCCCGGGGGAGTGTGTGACCCAGAGGCTGGTCCACAACAGAAAGATCCATCTGCTTGTTTCTTCTCACCTGGGGGTTCAACTGAACATCTCATGTCTGCTTCCATGTTAATTCATCATCATCCCACAGGGACTTGCCTGGCGCCCTTGCTTCAGAGGACCTGAGTGACTTTCCAGAAGTCAGGCAAGGGAAAAACGGCTCGATTTCCTGGCTGAAGCTTTCTGACTGGGCCCCATTCTCTTATGCTCTCCCATTCCTGCCCTGCTCTGCGATACCAAGAACAGGAGCCCAGGCTCCTAGAGAAGAAAGAGGTCACAAACTCAGGCTGGAAGGATCTAAGGAGCCATGTGATTTACCCCTGCCTCTGGGCAAGATTAGGCCTAGACCCTGAGGATCAGGCTGACTCCTGCCCATGATGGCAGCAGACACATCTCTGACAGGAGGAGGGAGGGGAAAGTGGCAGACAGCCCGTCCTGGGGGACTCAGTAATTGCTTTGTTTCTGTAACCCCTCCGCGATCCCAGCCCTGAGATCCTATCCTTCTGCCCTCCCTCCTCCCTCCCTCCCTGCTAAAAAGTCTGTGGTTTGACTCCTTCAAAAAGGTGGCAGCCACTCCCAGATTTTAGGGTTCTGAAAATGTCAAGACCAGTTGGGAGTTGTTTTTTTGGTTTTTTTCTCCTGAAGAGAAGGATAGAGAAGGGCCCCAGAGAGGCATAGCTTCAGGGAAATCCTGAGCCTTAGGGGAAAAGTCTAGAGGACTTCCCTAGGACAGAGGCTTCTGACGTCTTAGGACAGCTCCATTGATTCTGAGGACCCAAATGTCGGCATGGAATGTGTGGTCTGGTATAAAGAGCACTGGCCTGGCAAAGGACAGGGGCTACCTTGGGGAGGAGGGAAGGAAGAGAGTTTGGCAGGGGGCTCCTGGGAGGCGGCTCAGTCAGTTAAGTGTCTGCCTTCGGCTCAGGTCATGATCCCAGGGTCCTGGGATGGAGCCCCGCATCGGGCTCCCTGCTCCACGGGAGGCCTGCTTCTCCCTCTCCCACTCCCCCTGCTTGTGCTTGCTTTCTCTCTCTCTCTGTCAAATAAATAAAAATCGTAAGAAAAAAAAAAAAGAATATTTGGGTTCAGTCTTGGCTCGTTCACTTGTTTGTCATGACATCACAGGATAATCAGTTTCATCTCTCTGGTCCTCGGTCTCCACATCTATAAAATGGGGTCAACAGACCAAAACTCTCAGGAAGGCTGTGAGGATAGACTGAGAACTTGGATGTTGTTGGTGCCTTATAAACTATAA